CGCCCCGCTCCCCCCCTTTGTCCAAGACCTACTTCTGTTTCTAGGGCCACTTCAAATGCCACCGTCTCCGTGATTTCCCCAGTCCCTCCATCTCTGACGCCTCACTGCTTCTATCTGAATCTCTCCTGCGACAGCTATCACTTTATTACTTGAATTGTTAGCTATTTATCTCCCTGTTTTATCTCCCCTTTCTTTCCTTTCATCCCACAAATATTTATTGTTCCTCCCGAAATGTCGAGTCGGTTCTGGGGTTACTAAGATGAAGGAGCTTACGGGTGGGTGGGAGAGGTGGTGAGCTGTGTGCTCCATGGAGGCAGGGGCTGTGTTCTCACCCCTCGGGGTACCGTGCCCGCCCCCCTCACCGCCCCTCCCCCCGGGCTCTGAGCCCCCAGCGCTGTGCCTCCCATGCCGCAAATGCTCAATATGCCCTGTTGAGTGAATACGTGAACGGCTGCATCTCAAAGTAATAAAGGAAGTAGCGTTTCTTTCCACATCTTCGATCCTCAAGGCTCCCTTTTTCATTTACTTGGTTTTTCCCACATCTCCTTCCCCTGATCAGTAAGAATTAGGAAGGCATCACAATGCTCCCACATTCTCCACGAACCCCCTCGGCTCCACCCCACCCCACCCAGCTGTTCCCAAGCTCAGTCAGCTTTGGGGGGACAGGCATGGAAAACAGACCCCAGTGAGCTGGTTCTCTGGCCCCCTCTTGGGTTGGCCTCCTGGCCCTGCCAGCCCAGGTGGGCTTCCAGCTCCCCTCCCCAGCTTCACTCAGAATTGGAAACGGAGCCCTGAGGCCTGTGAAGAAACCTATCTCCCCCCTCCCCGGGCTCCTCCTCCGAGGGCTTTGTCCTGCCCTGGCACCTCCAACCCACCCTCCACTCAGCAACCTGGGCGAACTTTACAAAACACGTAGCACAGTGGCTTCCAGGACGCTGAGAATAAACGTCAATTTACTTCCTGAACTCTGGCCCAGCAGCTCCTAGATCCGGCCAGGTCTTTCTTACCCCAGGACCTTTGCACTTGCTGTGCCTGCTACCTGGAATGCCCTTCCTTCCCCCCGCGCTGTCTGGATGGCTTCTTTTAAGCCCATAGGTTTTTGTTTAAATGTCTCTTCTAGGAGAAGCCTGTAGTCCCCCTCCCCATTATTCTTCATTCTCTACTACAGGACCTCATGTCCTTCAACACACTCGTCACCAATTGTAAATATTTCTCTTGTTATTCTAAACATATTTCTATAGTCTGTCCCTACTCACCTGCTACATCGTAAACCTCACGAAAGCAGGTCTGATTACATCTTGTTCGCTAGTTTATTTCCAGCACCGTCTCTGACATACAGCAATCGCTCAATTCGGTGATGAATGAATGAATGATGCAAATGTTGGGGGAAGGCTCAGAGGCCTGGCTTGCTCCTTCCTAATTCATCCAACTCCACAGCTTCCACCACTAACTCATCCACCCCTCAAATATTTTCAAATCATTCACAACATGCATGTGTGTGTGTGTGTGTGTGTGTGTGGTGGGGGAGGGAGGTGTGCTAGGCTGAGGACTGGGGAGATAGTGGTGAAGATATCAGACCCAATCCTTGTCCTCATGGGACTTCTGGTCTTGTTGGGGAGGCAGACTCTGAATCCCTAGTGTCTGGGCAGTAAGTGTGTGAAGGGAAATACACTGAGGATCTGACCCAGTGTGGGCAATCAGGACTGGCTTCCTGGAGGAGGTGCCATTTAAACTGAATCTAAAAGGATGAGTAGAGCCTTGACAAAATAAAGGTGTGCAAGGAGTGCAAGGGGCAGGAGAACACTTGACTCCTAGAGTCTAGATTTTCCTACTGACAAATTAGAGCCAAAGAGACTTGCCCAGTGTTCCTCATGACACCCTGGGCAGATGGAATGGAACAAGGGCCTGCAAAGGGTTTTGGGAAATGGAAATCACAGTGTCTGTGTGTGTGTGTTAGCGGGGCGCACAGGGGTGGTTGAAGGCTCATGGGGATTCACCCTGACCTCTAGGGAGGTCTTGACTGCCATCTGGGGTAGCTACATTCTGCAGGAACCAATGAATTTGCCCACATAACCATCTCCATGGTCAGGTCCACCAGTCTGCTCATACCTGTGCCGGCCTGGTGTAACAGGTGAACGGAGGTGAAGACAGGGCGTGAGAGGGTGGGTGCGCAGGCGGCCAGCTGGTGGGACTGTCGCCCACACCGTACCCCCCTCCCCACTTAGGAGGCCCCTGAGCAGCAGACCTCGAGACAAGGATTCTGAGTGAGCGGCTTGTTTGTGAGGGTGTCCTGGGCAGCTGGGAGGGGGTGGAGAACGAGCAGGAAGGGAAGGGGCCCACAGGGGTGCATCCTGCAGGTCATCCTTGGTGGGACATGTAGTGCCGTATTATTCATGCCTCCCTTTCCTAGGTTACTGCCCGCCTCCCCGCCTTCCTTGCACCTCTGGGTCACTGCACCTCGCATCACGCCAGGCTCCTAGAGGTGCTCAATTACAAACCCTCCGAAGGAATAAATTATTGCCAATTTCAAGCAGGGAGTTCTGGGTCCCGAGGCTCAGAACTAGAAAGGCCTTTGACAGGGACCTGCCCAAGGTGTGCCACACCTGCACCCCCCCCCACCCCCCCCAGGGACAGAAGCCCTGCCGCCCCGGGACCCCACCAGCGGAGGAAAGCTCTGGGAGTCCCCGGCAGCCTCTCCTCTCCGCTGCCCAGGAAACAAGGGCTCTCTGCCAATTCCTGCTCATCTTCTCAGCCTCCTCTCCCCTTTCCCCAGCTGAAGAGGAAGTGGCTGAGACAGCTGTGGAGCTGGGACTCTCTCTAGTTGATATGCATTAATTTGTAAATATCTTCATTTATATGTAAATGTGGAGTCCCGGGCGCACCCCACCACCAGCCCTAATGGGGCCCTGCAGCCTGGAGAAGCTGCTCTTCCAGCGAGGCCGCCCCTGGGGCTGGTGGAATCGGATTAGACTCCGGAGGGTTGGCGGGTCTGCTCCTTTCCTCTTCCGTCCAGGCCTCACCCCTCCACCCCCACCCCCACCCCCATGCTGTCCACCGGAGCCCAGGCGCAGGGAGTGAGCACAGAGGGCAGGGCTCTGCTGTGCTGGTGTTCTGGCCGCCCTGGAGACCATACCTGCGGCAGGGGTGGGGCGCTAGGAATGATGGACAGGCTGGGGTCCTGGGTGGGGGTTGGGGTCTCAGAGACCAGGGTCACCACGCAGGGGTGGGGCGGCAGGGGCGGGCTCTGGGAAACTTGGGGGTGATCCAAATGTTCACTTGACGTAAACTCATCTGTGGGTCCCAGAATAGTTATTTTCTTCTCCAAAATGAGTGTCTGCCTCCGTTTTCATCTTGATGGCCATGGGCTGGTCTTGGGGGTGCTTTAATGTTTTAAGGCGCCCCAAATCCTCGTTGGAAGCGGGTGCAGGAGAAATCGTAAATATAAGAGTGAAGGCATCGGAGCTCCAGTGGCGCAATCGGTTAGCGCGCGGTACTTATAAGAGTGAGGGCATCTGTGTGGCCACGTGCCCCCAGGCCCCTCAGAGCCCCTTTGCACCCACATTCTCACCAGATTCCCCAGCAGGCGGCGGGGTCTTCCTCCCGGCACAAAGCCAGAGAGGAGGGGACCCAGCAAGGCCCTCCAGAAGCACACCCACCCTCCGGTCGTACAGACGTGGCCAGGGAGGGGCCACCTCCCTGAGTCCCTGTGCCAGCTGGAGGTACCCTTTAAAATCCTCTCATCCCATTTCCTCATTTTACGCATAGGGAAACTGAGGCCCAAGGGGCCAAGGAGCAAACCCAGGATCATCCAGTGGATTTGCAAATTTCCTTGTGCACCTACTGTGCGTCAGGCCTGTGTGGGAGCTGAGGGTACAGGGTTAAGGGGCGAAGGGCACCTGCTCTGTCTCCTGGTGCTCATGGTCACAGAAAGGAGAAGCAACCCAGGAGTGGGGAGTGGAGGGTCAGGCATCAGGCGCAGAGTGGGAGTGTCAGAGGCCCCCCAGGAAGCACAGTGCACCCCTGTGTGTGCGGCAGCATCTCCCCGTGCGCCCAGTGTGGCCCAGTCGGATTGAGATTGCGCTTTCTCCACCAGGCAAAGCAGCTGGCTGTGTGAGAGGGCGCGCGCACGCGCGCGCGTGTGTGTGTGTGTGTGTGTGTGTGTGTGTGTGTGTGAAGTTGTGCACATTCAGCGCCCGTGTGAAGCTACTGTTCATCAATGCGGTGAGGTCCCCTTCTTGTGGGGGGCAGGTCCTGGAGGGGTGGCAGCCATAGGCTTTGGGGGAGATCAGTTCTGCTGGGGTGAAGGGCAGTCTAGAGAAAGCGTCCACAGAGGAACCTGGGGTGGGTTCTGAAGGCGGATGAGGAGTTGCCCAGGTGACCACAGGGACAGGCACTCTGGGAAGAGGGCCCAGTGTGTGTGAAGGTCAGAGAGATAAAGGGGTCGGGGCCTTTTAGGGAATGGGTGAGGGGGCGTGGCAGGGCCTGGCATGGAATTAGCTCCCTTAAAGTCTTCTGGAAAAGGGGGAGAAGAATTAAGTCTCTCCATCCCCGAGGCCTCTTCTCTGCCTGTCCTGCCTCCGCTTCTGACCTGGGCCCTGTGTAGGATCTGTTTTCCTTGCCACGTTTGGGGCCCATGGGCTTCTGAGCCAGGCAGAGCTGGTTCCCACCACAGCTCTGGCATTCCT